CGCATACACATCTACTCTCTCTCTCTCTCTCTCTCTCTCTCTCTCTCTCTCTCTCTCTCTCTCTCTCTCTCTCTCTCTCTCTCTCTCTCTCTCTCTCCCTTACTCTTATTTGCAAATTCCACCACCCAGTTCTTCATAACAATCTTCGACCAATTCATCGGTTTCTGAGTCACTTTCGTTGTCGAATGTTCCAAAACGGTCAGAGAACCGATCTACCATTGTGAGATACGTTATAGTAAATTCAGTGATTCACATAATTCAGTTCTAAAATCTAAAGCCAAAGCTGGTTGTCGTAAAAATCAATTTATAACTGTACTTGCACTCGTCCAATTTCTGTTTCGTTACTTTCTAATGAAAGATAATCTAATGGCCCACTAATGAGCTACGAAATTATTATTTTTTTTAATGAACCAGTTCCGCAAACGGTGCAGTTTTAATGTGGGGAAAAAATTCCAAAGTGCAAACCTCGAGGGTTGCGGGTGTGGTATAACAGCGTCAAAGCAAATTTACCCCCAACACTTGCGGTTGCTGTTGCGGTTGCGGTTGCTATAGTGAGTGATTAAAGAAGAAAATGTGCTGGGACCCGAAAAAAAAGAAGATCAACCCAAGCGAGTTCAAACAAGTGGAGTCGATCTAATTGTTTTCAAGTTTTTTCGGTCAATTTCATCGGTTGACCGAACAATTTTGCATTTAACCGATCATTACTCGACCACGATTTTTCGCTTACTCGCTCACCACTAATTCTCACCCGTGGTGAGAATAGAGGTGGCCACATCAAAATATAGGCAACCCATCATAATTTTGTTTCATGATAGACCTAGTTGTGATTTAAGTTTTGCACTCACAGTACTCTTCGTCAAATTAGAATGTCATATAATTATTCTATTAGCCTAATCATTTTACTTTTTTTCTGGAGCAATGTAAGAAAATACATTATTATTATTGTTATAAGAGCAGCTCGTAGTAGGCCTACCATAACAGCTATTTTAATTGAAGACCAACAATTTTCAAATAATAATTCCCCAAAATGTACAGTAAGTAGAGGCCTCAACGCCAATGACCCCCCCCCCCCCCCCCCGTGTATTATGTATTTTGGTCTACATCTTATTGATAGGCTGATTATAGGCCTAGAAACCAGCATTTTTCAGACGCAGTCTGACTCTTTTTTTAGATAAATAAACCATGTTTACATATTGTAGCCATAAGTGAAGATGAACGATTTATTAAGAACAAACTTTCGATGTACATGTAATGTGACTTTATTATAAAGTAAAACTATGTTGGGAAGTTATTAATCGCATTAATTTATTCCACGTAACCTCGTAGTTGTAGACTATATCAGAGAATTTAATCTCAATTTTTGTGTGGTAGGTGCCTACGTAGAAAATTCACCGATACAAATTATTTTATGAGTACACGTACTTTATAAAATCAAAATTAGTTTTGATTCCTAGAGACAGATGTAAATCTAGATCACAGAATTCTACACTTAATTCTGTGATCTAGATCTACCTTTTGTCAAGGAGATTAAAAGTTAAAAGTAAACTCCTTGCACAGAATTCTAATGCATGAATGAGGCTCATTCAGATGTGATAATGAAGAAACTTGTGTCTACAGTCACAACAGAAAGAGTTCCATGGCGAGTGATCACTGGTCAAGGATTTCAGAGCTGTGTGCATTTTGAGAAAAATGTATCCCCATACCCTGGATCACATGTCGAGGGGATGGGCTTGTCCCCCTGTAATCCCCGCACTCAGTAAAACAAAGACATATTTTTGAACACGAATAAGAAAAAATAAGTGGTCTCTTGTTACGGATCAAATTGAAGTCCTGTTTCAATTCGATTAATTGATAAAAGTGCGTATCACAATGCGTTGGCCACCCCTGCCCTATAGGCCTATGCTATTTAATAAATACATTCGTCAGACCTGGAATCTTTAATGCCCGCACACAGTAAACAAACACACATTTTTGAACACGTATAAGAAAAAATAAGTGTTGTCTTGTTACAGATCAAATCGAAGTCCTGATACAATTCAATTAATTGATAAAAGCATGTATCGCAAGGCATCGCAGCACTATTACGCTATTTTATAGATACATTCGTCAGATCTGGAATCTTTAATCTTTAATTTTTAATCCCCGCACACAGTAAACAAACACACATTCATGAACATGAATAAAAAAATAAGTGGTCTCTTGTTACGGATCAAATTAAAGTCTTGTTACAATTTAATAATTAATAATAGCGCGCATTGCAATGCATTGGCTAACTCAGCATTATACGCTATTTATTAATACATTCGTCAGATTTGGAATCTTAAATTATAATCATAATTATATGTGCCCGCGCGTGGGAAGAGAAAGTGAAAGGAATTGAAAATGCTTTCAAAAACAATTATGAAAGTAACATAATTAAAGTAGGACTACATGTGCTTATAAAGGCCCAAAAAGGTGTATGGATGCGGAAATTAATGTTTCGGATGAAAATAATACGCTATCTCTACTACTGTAGCGTGCGGTCAAAAATTTGATGCGCAACTTATTATCAAATATCTAGGCTACTGAACTATTGAACACCTAGATCTAGATTCTCCTACTTTTACACAATGACTTAGATCTATATCAATTCGTCTTAACCGATGAGTATTTTTTTCAAACATTTGTACACATCTATAGGTTCTATATTATTCTAGAAATTTCTTTAAAGAAAATTCTTTAATAAATACTAGCCCAATATTTTTTTTAAAAAATCCCAGTCAACGGTTTCTACAAATTTTAAAAAAGTTAATAGCTGGAGCATAATCTCTTTTAAAAGCAAGTCCGTCCTTTTTTCTACTTCTGCTGGCGACATAAAGCTAATTATTGAACGCATGTTTTGAGAAGAAAGTGGCTATTCTCACCCGCCCGGAAGTTCTCGCAAGATCAACTCCTCCCCTCTTCTCTCTCTCTCTGTCTCTTTCTGAATACTGTCTATCGGTGTGGACGATCAAATTGACCAAAACAAAGTTAAAAAATGATGTTAAAACACAAAAGTAAATTAATTTGGTTGTCTACAAAGATGCTACGGCTATTTAACTTTTCGAATCGAGCCGAACTACGCGGGTCGCCATTTTGTTTTGCCCGGAAATTCTCGCGCTACTCCTCTCTCTCTTTCTCTCTCTCTCTCTCTCCACTGCCCACAGACAAAATTGTACGCTTTTAGTAGGCTACAGTTGTAATGGAACGTTTGTTCACGGCACAGAATTCTACAATTTTTCTGTTATCACAGTGTAGAATTCTGTGGTTTAGGGTGAACGCAAAATTTGGTGAACGCGCACCGGGTGAGAATAGCCACAAGACTCGCCTGCACTATTCTCACTCCGGGTGAGAATAGAGGTGGCCTTTTGAGAACATTAATTAGATCAAGTGAAAAAATATGTTCAGTGTAAAACAAATTTCTTGTAACAAGTTTTGCTACTAAAAAATTACGTAGGCCATATATGCGTATGCAAAATGTGTGTGGGAAGCTAGAAGTGCTGTGAACAATCCCATCCGTGTTACGAATTTTTTCACAGTTCAGTAGATCTTATATTTATAAACTCTCTATGTCTGCTTTTCTGTTGTTGCACCCAAAAACACAACAATTTAAAACCTTGATTCTAGTTGCACAGTGAATTCTGTAACTCAAAATTACAAACTGGACAGTAAATGTTCAACTTTTCACTCGTTTGTAAAAGCCGCTCTTGCTTTAAAAGCTATAGGGTTACTTCCGAAAACGATAAATCGTGCCCTCAAGACGCCATTGTTTTCGGTCTTCAATTCCTCACAGGTCACGTGGTACAGTTCCCGTTCTATAAGTGTAGAATTCTGTGACTCCTTGCTTTTTGTACAAACAATGATAATACATAACATAGAAAGGAACGAAATTCGAAATACGCTGCTTTGCTAGAAAAAAACGAACGACTCCGAAAAACGAAAACCGAAACATTCCGAAACAAGAAAAGAAACCCAACCCACGCTTACACATTACACACACGCTTTTCAAAATTTGCAAGTGCAGAGCAACGTCTTCCGGAGTCCCGAGTTATGGTTCGCTTCAAAAATAGGTAAAGTCTTTCAACTCTCTATCTTGCAATACTTAATTTGTTCTTTCCGTCAGTGTATCTGACCATTGTTTAACTTAGATCTACTTAAAATTAAGAATTAAGGTAAAACCGTGCTGTCTAGATCTATATTATGAGCTTCCCTTTGCCAAAAGGTGGGGGTGTTTGCATAAGGACTTTTTAAATCAACCACTACTCATGGTAAAATATGTTTTCTTCTGAAAACTTTATGCATAAGGCAAGGAAATAAGTTGGTCAAGCTGCATGAGCAAGTAGATTGATGTGTGCATCTTATATCTCTACATAGAAAGATAATAGTACTAAAAATACGGCATTTTTTACTCATCCTGAGTGCACACGTAATTAAATTGTATGTTAAATACAGAATATTGTTAATCTTAAACTATCAAACAGAAGAAGTGCATTCAAACATTGAAAATAGTTTGTATACACCATCATAACAGCGTGTGTCCATTAAAAGAGTTTTATTTTTTTATATTAATGATGTAATTGCTGAGTAAAATTTATAAGTTCGTTTATATAACTCGTGTCATAATTACATCATCAGACTTTCCAAGGTCTAGAAAACCCAAATCGTTAAACATATCATCCCGAAGAATGACCAGTATTAAACATTGGTTTGACATTGATCCATCAGAAGGGTAATTTTCCGCTCCATCGCATGGTTTTGCTTAAATATGACTTTGATTGAGATAATCCAGGTTTGTCATAATGATATGAATGAACAAACACTTTATGATATTTCTGCAAAATATCATGTGAGGGACTTCCCAATGTTTCACAACATCTTTTTACATGGTGGAATGAACATGGAAGAGTATCGTGCTGATGACTCAAAAGAGAAGCGAAGGACAGGCAAAAATATGCTTGTCATAAATGGATTGTCATATGTTATGAACGTGACAGTGTGTCATAATGGTTATTATGAACGAAACCTTATTCCATGTAATTTACAGTTGTTTTGGGATGTATTTTTAATTTTAACCCAACTTGAGGATGTATTAGACCTTGCTTACATTCTGATATTTTGATTTTTATCATAAGTGTATGGGTCTGGATTTTAATTAATTAGTATTTTAATTTTGTAGTAATGGTTATGAACGAACTACATATTGTACTCTGAGGGCTTTCCAGAGTTGATAAACATTAAAAACATGTACACAGATACATATTATGACGAAACTTTCATTTAATATAGAATTTTAAAGTAAATGACAGGTCAAAATATTAATTTTTAGGTCAAAACTAAAGTTTGTCATAATAGTTAAGAACGAACAATTAAAGGTATTCTAAGGGTTTTTCAGTGATTAAACTTTGAATTCTTCCAACATATAACCTTATTTTGAGGAGAGTCTCATAAATTAAAACAATTTTATGTGAATGACAGAACAATAAGTTAATTTTTTGGGCCCAAAGTAAAATTTGTCATAATAGTTATGAACGTGACAGTAACGGGGATCTGCAGTAATCATGCAGATCTGGGTCTTGTTACTGGCATTTATCCACTTTTTCTTTTACCTTTTCTTCCCAGTCATGAGCAAAACGTTCATCTCACAGAAGAAGAAGTGTCATATTTGGTTAACCCCCCCACCCAATCTTACACTTTTCTTACAGAAGCCAAAGACACCCTTTCCCCTCTGAGGTGTAAGTTTATATTTTGAACGGTCCCTATAGGCCTAGATCTAAAATACTTTGAGGCATGTCGCGTACATGAGAGGCGGAATAGGGTCGCTTTTCGAGGATCGCCGTAAAAATAGCCCGGGACTCACTGAGAGGCTATCTTTACGGCACGCCGTAAAAATAGCCTGGGAGGCTATCTTTACGGCTCGCCGTAAAAATAGCCACTGCGTAGAAATTAAATGCCTGATCAGGCTCAGGCTCAGGCTGTACTGTAGGCCTACTTAGACTAGATCTAGATCTAGATCTATCTAGATATCTAGATCTACTTACTGTCATAACAAGTAACAAGGGAGTGTATACAGACCTTGTACTCCGTTACAACCAGCTCCGTCAACAACCATTGCAGCCTGACATTTTTGTGTTATCTGAAGCGTTAACCTCAAAAGACTGTAAGCTGTCATAATTTTGTTTTAATACAAGAGAAAACAAGAGAAAGAAAGAAAGAAATGCTCTCAAAGAAAAAGAAAACTGCATCTTTTTGTTTTTGTTTTATCCATATTTTGAAATGGCAATGTCTGGGGGTAAAAAACAAGTCCTTTTTTTTGGCGCCCAATTCGTAATAAAATCATCACAATGCAGGAGTGACTGACGTATTCCCTGACAGCTCAAAAGGTATTGCGGATAGCTGCACCAAATTTTGAGCGAAACAAGTGGGTCAACCGATGGCTTGCTGCTTCCTGTAGCTTGTAACTGAAAAACACTGGAAGTATCTACCGATAAAGTGCATCCCCGTAAATACAGGGCAATAGGCTCAATTAAGTTAAAAAGGGTTGGGTAAAAATGGGGTCTGATCCACAGTATGAAAAGAATCTGTTCTTTGTTTTTTTTAATCGAAGCTTCATTTCTTTTTTGCAACTTGCAGGTATGCCCTCTGCGAGGTTGTCACCCCTGGCACGCAGTCGTCATTGCTGGAGATCAACAGCCAACAAGTGTATTCTGCTGTGAGAAATGTCATCTTGGACACTCATGGGGAGTTTGGTCTTGGGTCATTGCAGTTTTCACTGAAAGGTAATGCCACCCCAAGACTAACAAGTTTATGTTTTTGTAACATCCACATACCGTACAACCCCCCGGGGCGGTGCCACTGACTGAAGTGTCTTTAGGCCATTCCCAAAGGGGGGACATTTCATAACTGCTGCTTTTTCTTTCCTAATCCTTACTTGTCAGTTTGCCTCTACTTCTTCTGTATGTTTGTCACACTCTTGTGAACTGCTATTTCTGGGATGCCTTGATAGTCCAAGCAGACTTTGCTCTGTTGAAGCTAGAGAGGTGAGCAGAGTAAGTCTGATTCCCTGTAAGGACTTCTCTGTTGACATCCACCCCTTGGTGCTCTGACTCAAATCACCTAATGCAGTTGCGAGCGCCGTAAAACCTCTACAAAAAAACTAAAAAACATACCGTTCAGTTTGAACCTGTCTGAGCTGACCTCCCACCGTTGAGGAAAAAAGTGGTCAGTCATCTTGGGATTGGGAGGCATCATTGTAATGACAAACAGGGAGGAGGGGGAAGTGGCTGTGTTTGAACAGGTGATTGTTTTGAACTGGTTTGACTGTATTATTTTAAGTTACTTCACGTACCAATTTCTATGAATGGGTGGTTAGCGGGTGCTCTGGTGTGGTCTGCTTCTTATTTCCTATGGAACATCTATCGTCCTTATCTCCCCTTCTTCTTTTTTATGTTTGTTACTTTCTTGTAACATCTCTAGTCTTCTGGCGCTCATCTGACCTTTTGCAGTTGCGGGCGCCATAAAACCTCTTCTAAAATTAAAAATGTCTATTAACCAGTCTGGATAGTCTTTTGTGCATCCACTCTGCAACTTCAGAAGCAGTTGAAAGTTTCTGTAAGACAGACAGGCGGTGTAATGGAGAGAGTTCCTAGAGCAAGATGCTCATGCATGGTGTTGTTTTCGGAATGTTATTAGGCTACACAGTGGGGCCTGCCGAAGGTAAAGTCCCTGATTTTCTTCATTTTCGAAGGGTTTTCGCTTCAGGGAGTGTTGAAAGTTTTCCCCGTCTACCTCTTTCAGTAGCCCAGGCTTGCCAGCTGTCCTATATTCTCTGTCCCGGAACTGTCCTGGATTGGGCAGTTGGGGATTTGAGAGTGTTTTCCCGTGCTACGCTAAAAAAAGCTGTCCCACTTGATGCTGTTTTGTTCGTTGTTGTGTCACCCTCCAGGTTCTTTGCGTTAAATTTTCGAAATGGAAGCATTTTGACTAATCAGTAGTTTTCTGACAAAGACAGTGGGGGGGGATTTGGCATTCTGTTTTCTTTTATTAACGGCTGTTTTCCGTTTTACCCTGTTTGGTTTTAGCAAACCCCTTTACTATGCAGTTGCGAGCGCCGTAATACCCTAAATACTTCTACTACTAAACCCCTTTGCATTGACGTTCAGTTCTTGGTTTGTGAACAGTGTGAAATGCCTGGAGCCTTTCTTGGGTGGATGCTGTTGTGGGTGAACTTATTCTGAATGTGCAAGTTGACGGATCTTATGTCCCCACACTCTTTCCTTTCTAGTATTTCCCTCAGTATCTTGAGAAATGTTTTTCTACATCAATCTTCTCTCCCTTTGTCTATTTTTCCTAACTTCGACATAACTTACAGGGCTCTCGTGGCCTAGAGGTTAAGGTTAAGGTGTTGGCCTTTCATTCAAAGGTCCCGGGTTCGATTCCGGGTAGCGACTAAAAAATTTTCTTCTCTAAATTTGTCTCCTTTCACCTCATTTCCTGCTCTCTAGCAATGTTCTGTCGTCTGCTTTCATTTCCACCTTCTGCCCCCACCCCCTCGCCTCCTTTGCCCCTTACTCTGGGCTCCTGATTCTTTCTACTGCTACTCCTTCGCTTCTTCTTACTGCTGTCTTTCGGCCACACCCCTGATCTTCTGATAGGAAAGATCTACACCTAGCCTTCTCGGACAAGGGCGAAAAATCTCGGAGGGCCGGTGTGCAAGTTGCGCTAGTTACAGATCCCTTGACTTGGTGGTTTAAATCGATAAGAGTAGGCTTCGGCCGCCACCCAGGCAAAATTCAAAATTTCCTACCAACTGAAAATATTAGGTGTGTCCCGCGCGCTCATATGACCTTATGCAGTTGCGAGCACTGTAAAACACTTTACAAAAACAAAAAACAACATAACTTGCTGGTGGTGACTTGTCACTTTTAAGCTGATCAATTGCTTAATATATTTGTTTTTTTCCTTTTCTTTTCAGTGAAATATCTCAATATTGAAACTCGAATAGTTATCATTCGAGCTGAACGGAGATTCTTCCACTACCTTTCTTCAGCTCTTGTATTCGTGAAGAAAATTGGAGTTCACAATGCTTTTCTACGAACAATACATGTTGGAGGTAAGATTCTGAATGGTTTGGACTTTTTAATTTTTATGCTTTCTATATCTTTTTTTTGGGTAGCATACATTGATTGGGGGGGGGGGGGGGGGTTGCATACATTGATCTGGAGAAGTTGAGTACAATAACTTAACCTCTCACCTCTTTTATTGAACTTGCACTGATTATATTTTGTTTTAAATTGAGCTGAATTTTATAGGGATGTGGTTTTTAATCAATGAAAGTTTCATGCCATATTGTAATTGTAATGTTAAACCTGTTATATATTTATACTCTTCATCTTTTTCAGATTTGGTCCAAGTTTGTTTGGGTTTTTTTTTCGTTCTTTATGTTACTGCTTTGTATCCACGGTGGAAGTGGAATTATACATTTCAGTATTTGCAAATTTTGCTCTAAAAAAATTACAAAATTTACCTGCCCAAAAATTTTTTTTGACAGAAGATTTTGTTTGTGTGTGATGTTTTCTTTAAGGAATGAAGGAAAACTTTTCATTATATATATTTTTTTTATCATGTGATATAAAGCAACTCTCTGTCCTTATGATTTTACACAACCGCAATGAATGCATTGTGGGTTTGGTATACAATGGAACCTGCCCAAATAGCCACCTCTATAAGACAATCACCTGTACAGACCACCCCTTCTTATCACCTCTATAAGACAATCACCTGTACAGACCACCCCTTCTTATCACCTCTATAAGACAATCACCTGAACAGACCACCCCGTATCACCTCTATAAGACAATCACCTGTACAGACCACCCTGTATCACCTCTATAAGACAATCACCTCTACAGGCCACCCCTTCTTATCACCTCTATAAGACAATCACCTGTACAGACCACCCCGTATCACCTCAATAAGACAATCACCTGTACAGACCACCCCTTCTTATCACATCTATAAGACAATCACCTGTACAGACCACCCCGTATCACCTCAATAAGACAATCACCTGTACAGACCACCCCTTCTTATCACATCTATAAGACAATCACCTGTACAGACCACCCCGTATCACCTCTATAAGACAATCACCTCTACAGGCCACCCCTTCTTATCACCTCTATAAGACAATCACCTGTACAGACCACCCCTTCTTATCACCTCTATAAGACAATCACCTGAACAGACCACCCCGTATCACCTCTATAAGACAATCACCTGTACAGACCACCCTGTATCACCTCTATAAGACAATCACCTGTACAGACCACCCTGTATCACCTCTATAAGACAATCACCTGTACAGACCTTGTTTCTTCTTTGTGGATTTTATATCAAACAAATTCCTTTTGAATGAATTATGTCTGTTCCAAATTACAGCATTCTAGAACAGTTTTTGCGTGAGATATTCAGAAAAAAAGTTGTAAGTTTTTTTTGGATCACCCTGTATGTCTGTCCCCGTCGTTTTATGCTAGAAAAATTCTGAAATTATGCAAACTGAGCCCAAATATATGAAATTATGTGATTCTATTAATTTTAACAAAGAATGATTAAGGAAAATAATCGGAAATTATCCCCAAAAAGTTATCAAATTTTGCTAAATGATGCGGGGTGCATAAAACCACGGGGACAAATATGTATAAATATGTATAGATGGTACAATTCAGCATCAGTGACAAAGGGACTTGTTTTTCTCTTTCATTAGGTTCCATTCGAGCTTGTCAGAAGTTCCTCATTCGCTTCCATCGGCAGAATATGACCCGTCTGTTTCCCCAGTGTACGACAGATGGTGAGTAGTAGGCGGTTGTGTGGTTGACAGATGGTGAGTAGTGTGTGGTTGACAGATGGTGAGTGGTAGGTGGTTGTGTGGTTGACTGATGGTGAGTAGTGTGTGGTTGACAGATGGTGAGTGGTAGGTGGTTGTGTGGTTGACAGATGGTGAGTAGTAGGTGGTTGTGTGGTTGACAGATGGTGAGTAGTAGGTGGTTGTGTGGTTGACTGATGGTGAGTCATAGGTGGTTGTGTGGTTTTATTTTGGGGGAATGAAGAAAAGCATTTCATCATTGTTATTATTTATGTTATGTTTGCTTTGATGCAATCATGAAAATAAAGAAATTTTCTGTCTTTTCCTGAATATTTTACATAACTGTCGGGACTTTGTTGTTTGTGTGCAGCCTCCTTGAGCTCTTGAGAACTCCTTCAATTTGCATTCAAGGAAAAATCTCTTTGAATTTGAGGAATCTCCTTGAATTTCGACGGATCGGACATTAACAACATTTTTGCCGGAAAATCTAAACTACAATTCCTTTCGGACAAGTGTAGGCCTATCGGAAATAAACAAAAACAAACAAACATGGTATTTGGATAGCCTTTGGTCATCTTTTCTTTACCTATACTCCATCTTGATAGTAGGCTTTTAAAAATAATTTTTCTTCTTTATTTTCATTGTTCAAATAGAACAAAGGTGTCAAGTTATGGCCTCCATAATGGACGCCTGCGAAGAACTAGAAGCCCCTGGTAGGCGGAGCAAGCCTCTGGAACTGGGGAAGCAGCCTTCGACGGCCTTGGACATTCTCAACAGCGGGGAACAGAGATGATGATGGTGTGAAGGAAGAGCATCCGGAATGTAGGAAGTGGTGGAGTACATCAACATGGGGGGATTCTGAGTGGCTCGTCCTGCTGGTTCAGATCTGTGAGCATGATCCGAGGAGGTCCAAGATACGCACATTCTGACTGGCTCGTCCTGTTGGTTCAGATCTGTGAGCATGATCCGAGGAGGTCCAAGATACGCACATTCTGACTGGCTCATATGGGAGGGTTGAGCATAGTCTTCTGAGGTTAATAAGAAGCCGTAAATGGGGGGGGGGGGGGGGGGGGTTGTTTGTTTGAGTTTTTTATGATCAAGGTCTGTTTTTGTGTGGAACCTTGACCCATCTCTCCATAGCCTGCCTTCACCCAGAGCAGAACCCCCACCCGAGCTGCCTCGAGCCGGCAAAAGAGCTTTGACACCCTGTACTAAAATGACTTTCATTTTAAGAGTACCAAACCAAACTCTTTCATTTTTTCAGCAGTAATAGATTATTGAATGTAGTTTATGAATCTGCACATTTTATTTAACACATTTAGTAATATTGTGCAATTCCATTGTTTATAAATGGAAAAAAAATGTAATATTGCTTAAGGGGGAGGGGTACTTTATAACCTATCTCGGTAACTATGAAAGTTCAGGTAAAGCCTTTTGGCAAGGAGGTTAAACAGGAAAACATCTCTAAAAAGCAACGTTACGTTTGTTTAACTCTTTGGGTGGTGGATTATCAAGGCTATAGTTGTTCCCCTCAGCGGCGGATTATTTTGAGGCTATTCTGTTGTAACCCAGTGGTGTTAGAAAAAAAATCATTAAAAAAAAACTATAAAAGATAGAGACATACATCATGCATCAAAATAAAGAGAAATGAATGAACTATAACATGAACACAACATTTAGTGAGCAAAAAAAATATTTGTACTCACTTTTTGCTGATCTACGAGAAATTATCCATTAATTTCTCGGTTTGTATTCCAACTTTGTGTGAAATGCTTCAAAACACTCTGGAATGCAGAGGGGAACCTTGCAGTGCTTGCATTCAAATGATGGTTGTGTCCTTTTACAGCCATTTCTAGAAGATTTGGGAATATTGCACACAACACAGTCTCTCATCGGTTTCTGTCGCTTGGCTCCGGGCTTCGGCTCACAATATTTGGGAAAATGGGGAAAATTTCGGTTCAGTCTCTCTGGCACCTCAGATAACTTTCTGCCACTACTGGAGGGTCCTGGGTTACCTGGTGCAGCCAACAGCAAAGATTTTACAATCTGGCTCCTAAATTGGAAGTGGTCAACAGGGTTTCTCACTGTCTTCTTGTACAAAATGTAGGAGTTGCACAATGTAGCACAAAAAAGATGCATGAAAAATTTCCTCCACCATTTCACAGACCTCCGAATGCACGCATAGTTCTTCATAAGTTGGTCACTCAGATACACCCCTCCCATGTTCTTTACATACTGAACCATCACTTCAGGTTTAACGATCGGGTTGCCTGCATGGACCTTTTTGCTGAGAGTGACGAGATTTGCGTCGTGGATGGTGGACAGCATATGAACGTCACGCTTGTCCATATGTCGTAGGGCAAGTAAGTTGTCTCTCTGCCTAAAAATTGTTTCTCCTTGTGAGAGCTTGATACCAGCTTTTTTCTTTATGGCATCAGGCTTTTCTTTCCTGTTGGTCCTCACTGTACCGCATGCACCAGTCCCAAGTAAATGCAGCTCATCGAAGAGATCCGGTGAGACGTAATAATTGTCTAGGTAGACATGGTGCCCTTTATTTAGCAGTCCACAGTAAGCGAGCAATCCTACTACAAGCTTTGTAGTGGTACAACACTCCTCTGATACACCAGCCAAAGAAGAAAAAGTTTCCTCTGCTTCTCCCCCGGTGTAAACATTCATACTCGACAAATATCCAGACTCAGACTCGCAGACTTCATAAATTTTTATTCCGAACTTGGCTGGTTTTTTAGGGTTGTAGACCTTGAAACGAAGGCGGCCTTGACCTTTGACAGCACATGTAGCTTCGTCAAAACTTAGATTTTGTCCCGCTGAATAGGCATCTACAAACTTTTGTCTGAGGTGGACAAAGAATGGTCGGACCTTGAACAAGGGATCAGTTTTGTCATCATCATTGTTATCGACAAGATGTAAATTTGAGAGAATGTTCTCAAAACGTTTGAGAGACATGTGCGTCGAGAAGAAAGGCGTGCAGATGATCGAATCAGTAGACCAAAATTTATCCAAATCATCTTTCTTGACGAGTCCTGTGGCAATTATCAGAGCTAAAAAGGCTCTCATCTCATCTTGGGTGACATCTTTCCAGCTGAGAATACGGGAGTTGGGTGGTAGTTCGTATGTCACATCACCTTTCTGAGCAGCATAATTGTTGGTTTGGTTACACCAGTCCTGAATTATTTCTTCACTTATAAAATTAGACCTGCATGTTTGCCGACAGTCGTCTGAAATCCGACAGTCGCGAACCGGCCGATGCTATCGCTAGGCCCGCCTGTATCAGTCAATGTGCGTAGTGCGAGGCTTGGCCGACTGCCAGCGACCCATTTTTCTCCCGTCGGCTTCGTCGGCACTTTCGTTTTCGTGCCGACCGCCGACGCGCGCACCGCTGACTGCCGACGTCGGCGTTTCCGACATAATTGTCGGAACCTAAGTAGAAATGCGAATACGAAAAAGGACGACAACTTAAATTATCTACTTTCAGTTTCGTGCTCGAGCGGCCATTTTGAATTTCGTTTGTTGACTAATTCAATTGTTCAGATCGTATATGGATTCATTCAAGTCCGACTCTCTTGTTCTAATAGAATCTAGATCTAGATCTAGATTTATAAATAGACCTCAATGGAGGATTCATATTCCAATTCTATTGTGTCAAACCCTATCATAGGTTGTGCTGTAATATTTATATTGGTAAAAATAAGTATTTCATCAGGTGCGTGAATTATTTATTTATTTAGATTCTAGTAAAGATCTAGGATCTAGATTCTAAATCTAGATCTATCTAGATCTAGAATCTAGACTCAGCTGAGTCCCTCTGTTCGGAATCGGATGCGGATTTCTAGTTCAAGGCCTATTCCTATTCACTTGTTCTACAAGATCTAGATATCTAGATCTAGATTTATTTAGATTACTAGATCTATATATGAAGGATTCATATTCCAATTCTATTGTGTTATTGTATCAAACCCTATAGCAATGTAGATGTAAGCCATATAGATCTAGATCTATTTGATATGCTCCTTGTTTGTTTTGGAGTGTGGTTTTTTAATTTAATTTTTTTTTTCATTTAGGACTTGTTTTGGCCTTTTTACATGAGTCCCGTTGCAGGTTCTTTTTGGGGGTAGGGTTAGGGTTAGGTCTCTTCTTTATTGTGTTTGTTGGGGTGGTCGCTCGTTACTGGGTGGTAGTTCGTATGTCAGGGGGGGGGGGTTTGCGCAAAATTTTCAGACAATCTGGTTGAGGCTCACATGCGGGTCTATAAAATAACTAAAAAATTCAAAAGGCTGAGGATCATCACTTAGAGGTATTTTTACTTGTGATTGACCAGTAAATGGCTCAAAAAGTGGTGGAGTCGACTCACAAATCCATCCTTCATTCTCATCTGTTTCGAACACACGGTTAGTGCCTGCTTGTTGAATGGGTTCACGAGCTATAATATTTGATTCATCAACAACTGGCAAACTTATTTCATCACTAGATCTAGAACTCTCACTCTCACCATCAAAGTCATCATAGATTTCATCCAGTAATTGTAGAATATTTGTATTAGATTGTCGCTGGGTCACTCGTGTAGATGAAGAAGCATCCATCGTGATGACGCAAAACATTTGAATAGAACACGGAGTCGGAATTCCATTCATAAAAGTAGTAAGAAATAGGTACGGATTCCGACTCGTGTAGATGAAGAAGTATCCATCGTGATGGCGCAAAACATTTGAATAGAACACGGAGTCGAAATTTCATTCATAAAAGTAGTAAGAAATAGGTACAGATTCCGAACTTGTGCACAAAACAAAGGAAATTCATTTCCGGAGTGTTTGCCGGTGTTATATTGCTTGTGTACCCCTACGGTGAAGAGAAATAAAGCCTCCTGTGACGTAGGGTACCGGCGCGCTATAAGTCGCGAGCGCCGGCCATTACACTGGAAAGGTGGCGCGACTTATGTCGCGAGCACCGCCCAGAGAGTTAAAAACCACCGTTACCATGGTAGCGACAGCCATATTGAAAATAAACGGCTTTCATAAATCTTGAAAGGCTTTTTTTATTTACTGACCGAATTTATTCAAATTTGGTACATTGATAGATATACTCAAAACAAAATATTACACAACAGGGCTCTTGGATATCTTGAATAGGAAAAAAGTTGTAGATGGATAACTGACCTACCCCTTCACACCTCTTAATTTCATTACATAATCGCCCACAACTCAAGTATAAATGTACCTATTACATTGTCCTGTGGTATAAAGTTTGGTTAGGATGTGAACAACAAACCCTGAAAATGTCAGAGGAATGGGTGAGAAAATAAACAAGTAGACGAGAAAAAGGTATCAAAAATTAAAGTTTGGAGAAAAACGGCATTTTGTTTCAAAATAGACCCCAAAAAAATTCTTGGGCGGAAAATCGGAAAAATGATGATGTAACATGCACAACAAGCATTTTTGTTCTTGTGAATCCCAGTTTCATTACAATCCAGCCAAAAATATGCGAATATGAAAGTAAATTGTGACATGAGGTACTGACTGTTCAAAACCAAAAAACGAAGAAAACTGGTGATAGTGTCTGTTAGAGTACACTTCAAAACATCCCAGGCCAGTACGCCACGCCATCTTCTTTCTCGGCCTCAAGACGAGCCTGCTCTATTGCCTTCGCTCGCATCACCTTCCTCCTCTTCGCAGCGGCCTTCTGTACATCCTGGCCTATGTACAAACGCTTGGTGGTGCGGGCAGAGTTCAGGCGCTCAGTGTTGACCCCAGAAGGTACACCAAGTAAATCCTTCAACTCGGTAGTATATCCTGGGCCAAAGTTGAATTCGGCAGCAGCAGTGATGACAGCCACTTCGACGCGTTGCTTGCTGCGGAACTGACATTTGCTGCATTTGGCCCAGACAGAGTGGTGAAAACTTTCGTTTGCATTCTGGGTCGCCTTGCGCTCACACCGAAGAAGTAGAGAATCGGCTGTGAGCCTTTCGTAGACGGGACGGAGGTGCTCATGCAGCAGTTGGTAGTTCAGGGGCGTGTGCACCCTGTTCTTGTGGCCTCCTGGATAGACGTGCCTTGCCAGGGACTTCTTGTAGAAGCACCAGGAGTCGTTGCCAGACGGACAGTACATGTGCTGCGGGTGGTCGTCTGTAGAGTATCCATGGTGGACACTGGCCAGGATAGCTGTCCTCATCTCGGCTGCAGTGGCTTGGCTTCGGATGGCCCTCGAATAGTAGATGGACAGCTTGCGAATAGTGTTTGCTGTCAGCCTGCCATGGCCTCTGCCACCTAGCGTGACGCCTTTCTTGCTGCAGTCGCTGACGAGGTTCCGTAACGCAGTGCCCAGCCACTTCCCCACATGATTTAGGCACTCCTCCTTCACAACCTGGACTCCTGGACCGTACGGCTTCACCTCTGTCACCTTGTTGAAGGCTTTGGAGTCTCCATCACCAACAAACGTGGTGTACCGCATGCTGAACTTTTCGACTGAACGGCTCCACAACACAACTGCAGCCTTCACCTCCATCATCCCCGACGATCCACCATAGTTAATGTTGCAGCCACTAGCTTTGTGCTCCGTCAGCCATGCGTCGTAAGCCAGGGGAGTGTTCATCTTCTTCCACTGACCAGTGGTAGCGCAAGTCTGGCAATGAAGGCTCAGGACATGGCTGTCGAGTACAAGCCCGGTCAGTACGTCGATGACGCAGCCAATACCGACGAGGGACTTGTGGCCACGCGTCAGCCAGGAGCCGTCGAAGCTCACGGCGATGTCCAGCAAGCCATCCTCCGCGACGCAGCCCATGCTTTGGTAAGCCTGGCGAACAGTGTTGGCGGCCTGAAGAAATACTTTGTCCGCCAGAGATTCACTCTTTCCGTACACCTGAGTGGCATATTTGTTGAAGGTCTTCGGATTAAGACCTGGGAGATCCAGGTGAGCACATAATGTGTTGAACTGGTACGGCCCCAGGCCAGACCTCAGAGCCGCAGCCGTGGCACTCTGATTCACCTTGAACGGTTTCCTCTTTGCCGGGGTGCTGGTGTCGAGGGAAGACGTGTACTGGGGCTTACCGACGACGCTAGAACATTCTGAGCAGAACAGGGAAAGTCGAAGAGCCAGGCCGGACTGACCCATCTGACGTAGCGACAAAGTCCCAACGATGCCACACTGGGGACACTGAAGCTGCTGGAACAACCTTTCAACCTGTGACAACTCCACGATGGCTCGAGACGTATCTTCAGCAGCAGCAGGCACGACATACCTATTCAGCTTCTCCTGGGAACGGAGAGGGATCAGCAGCAGAGGGTCCGGTGGAAAGACAGGCCGCGGGGTCTCTGGAATATCCAGAATCGAAGACGATGCAGGCATCTCTGGGGGCACAGGGACGGAAGACGATGCAGGCATCTCTGGGGGCACAGGGACGGAAGACGATGCAGGCATCTCTGGGGGCACAGGGACAGAAGACGAGGACTGCGGAAAAAAAGTTAGGGAAACATCAGCTTCATGCAAGTAAATTTCTGGTACTGAATATTGGAAATCTGTAGACTGAAACTGTTACAACATTCGGCCTGTAGGCCTACATGAAAAAGTCATACAGTTGAAAAAAATTGTGCCTATATAAAAGTGAATATAGGGCCTAGGTAACCATGCATTTCAAATTCAGTAAGAAGAATCAATAGAGGTTTTTCATTTCTGCAACAAAGAATAGAGTCTATTCATGCACACACACAAACCACATAGATCTAGATCCACACACGTTACTACCACTAGATAGATCTATGTAGATATATCATTCTAGTACCACAAATACTTAAGTACACACACACACACGCGCACACAAACCACATGGTACAGATCTTGATCTACACACGCTACGACTAGATCTATCATTCTGTAGGACCTTATTGTGCTGCAAGTGCCGTAAAACACTAAAACAACAGGCAGGTTGTGAGGAATTCACGCGACGAGCTCGCACCGAAGTTGAATTCAGCAACTCTAATAGCCACTGCGATGAACGTAACTGGTGCTTTGGGCAATGAGCCCATATGACTGCGTGTGCTCTCTCGTTAGCGTTTTGGGTGCTCTGTAGAATGCAGCGGCCCAGTGGGTCATTGGATGACAACCGCGTGAGGATTGGCTGGACGTGATCAGCGACCAGCTGGCAAAGTAGAGTCCCCCACCTTGTCGATACGGCTACCAGGTGGCAATCCCCTTGCTTCTGCCTTCTGTCAAAACCACCTGGAGTCCTCTCCTTTAGGGCAGTTCTCAGGGTGGTGGTCCTCGTCTGTTGAAGAACGATGATCTAGGATAGCCATAACCGCTTGTTTCATCGCAGGAACAGATATGTGTCTTCGTATGGCATTGATGTAGTAGCCTTGGAGAGTCTTAATAACTTCAGGTGGAAGTTTGCCATGTTTTGTTGCCACTGAGTGACTTTTGGCTTCGCCTTCCATTTTTCGGTCACCATGTTCTGCTGGGCTTTTCCTAGTCTTTTTCCGACGTGGTTGACACTCTCGTGTTTTTGAACGGCAGTTCCGGGGTGGGGGTCCAGCGCATGCAGTTCAGAAATGGTCTTAGCATGACCATCGCTGATCATGGAGACGTACCTGAGCTGATGTCTTAGAATTGATCCACTCCAGATCCTGAGTGTTGCTTCCTTCTCCATGCCCCCCACTTGTGCCCTTGTAGTTTGTGTGAAGAAAACCACCGCTCGTACCTGAATGTTTTCTCTCTCAAGGCATTTTCCTGTGGGCCCTCATAGTTTGTGTGAAGAAAACCACCGCTCGTACTTGAATGTTTTCTCTCTCAAGGCATTTTCCTGTGGGCCCTCGTAGTTTGTGTGAAGAAAACCACCGCTCGTACTTGAATGTTTTCTCTCTCAAGGCATTTTCCTGTGGGCCCTCGTAGTTTGTGTGAAGAAAACCACCGCTCGTACTTGAATGTTTTCTCTCTCAAGGCGTTTTCCTGTGGGCCGTCGGTAGCCTAGTGGTTAGGCTACCGGACTCGTAATCGTGAGATTGCGGGTTCGACTTCGAGCCTCAGTTCGGTCCGACGTCGTGCCCTTGGTAAAAGCACTTTGCACGAACTTCCCACTTGGCTCAGTCCTATCGGAGACGGACGTTAAACTCGGAGGTCCCGCCTCTTAAATAACCTAATAGTGTTGATAGGGGCGTTAAACCTGTACCATTTCACTTTCTTTTTTGTTTCCTGTGGTGGCACACTGGAACAGTAACTAGTAAGCACTTCATAATCTACGATGGGGCTAGTTTTTCTTTCTATGGCTAAGCCAATCCCAGACTTTGAGGTGGGGGGCTCTCGTGGCCTAGAGGTTAAGGTGTTGGCCTCTCATTCAAAAGTCCCGGGTTCGAATCCGGGTAGCGACAGAACAATTTTCTTCTCTAAAATTGTCTCCTTTCACCTCCTTTCCTGCTCTCTTGCAATGTTCTGTTGTCTGCTTTCATTTCCACTTTCTGCCCCCACCCCCTCACCTCCTTTGCCCCCTCCTCTGGGCTCCTGACTCTTTCTGCAGCCTTTCTACTGCTACTCCTTGACTCCTTCTTACAGCTGTCTTTCTGCCACACCCCTGATCTTCTGGTAGGAAAGATCTACACTTAGCCTTCTCGGATAAGGGCGAAAAATCTCGGAGGGCCGGTGTGCAAGTTGCGCACGTTAAAGATCTCTTGGTGGTCTAAATCGATAAGAGTGAGCTTCGGCCGCCACCTGGGCAAAAATTCAAAATTTCCTACCAACTAAAAATATTGGTGTGTCCGGCGCGCTCATATGACCTTATGCAGTTGCAAACGCCGTAAAACACTACAAAAAAAAAACAACACACTTTGAGGTGTGACCTCGTTTCTGCCAACTACCGTCAAAGGAGACATGAATGTCCTTCACATCACAATTCTGTTGTTGGTATACCTCCATCACTTTCTCGACAGATTTCTTTAAACTATCCCTCGAGAATACGTTGCACTTGTCACCCTTATGGTGTGAAGATGGCACATTCATAGTGTCACAAAGG